AGGCCAGTAAATCTGGTCTTTTTTTGTGTGTGTTAGAATTTTGTTCTACATCCTTCTCCAGCTCTGTCCAGAACCCTCTGTTGTGATCTTGGTCAGAGCAGTCAGTGGTGGTAGCTGGGCACCATCTAGCTGTACTGGAGTCAGTCTGGTGGAGGCCTTCGTAGCTGTGGTCCATTAGTCCTTTGGACTAATCTTTTCTTTGTATCCTGTTCTCTTCATTCTCCCTTACAACTGGTTCTTTTTTAACAGCCCCAAATTATTTGGATAGCCTACCCAGAGAAAAGGTACTCAGGAGTGGGAATTTGAAAACCTGGATTATATTCTCCCATCTGCTGATGACCTACCTGTAGCTTTCGATGGTTCATTTAACCACTCAAGGCCCTTGTTATTATTGGTAAAATGCTGATTTGGACTAAAGACTTTAGAGGTACAATTTTAGTATTTTGTATCCTCTTCATACTTCAATAAATTATAAAACCCAATGATTGATTTTACATGGTGATGCCAGTTTTGTATGGCTACACTGCTAATTTCTTGATGTCTTTGCTTGTCTTGATGTGGTGTTGGTAGCAGTAGTTTGTGTGTGTTTTCCTTTTTTTCTTATTTTGTTGTTATTGTTGAGAATATACCCAGCAAAACATACACAACTTCAACTGTTTCTACAAGTACAATTCAGTAACACTGGTTATATTCTTCGAGTTGTGCAACCATTCTCACCCTCCAGGCAGACATGTTTTACTGGTTAAGCTAATAGTTTATATTTTTGGTTGAAGGTTTAAAGATTATCTCAGGGCAGTAGTTTCAGGGGTCTCTCCAGCCTCAATGGCTCCAGAAAGCCTGGAGTCCATGAGAATTTGAAATTCTCTTCTGCCTTTTCGCCTAGTTGGTTTTGTTTTTAACATGACCTATGTGGATAACTCCGACAAGGAACTTTACTACGTATCACAACTTACCTTACTGCAGATTATGTTTGCTTTTGGTTTTCATAATTATATCTATGTCCTTTCTTGGCTTTGCACAATAGGCCAGATATGCTTCTGTTCTGAGTGCCTGTGCCACAAACCATATGACTGAAATACTGTTTCAACTCTGTGCTCAGACTAAGCTTTTGTTCTCTCTGCTTACTTTCTGATAATATTATTTGTACATAGATTTTCCCAGTTAGTTAGCTTTTTCTTCTTCCTGTTCATTATTCAGGCAGTTGTAAAATGCATTGTTGTTTTGAGATTGTGTGCCAGTGGTTCAGGTCCACACTCTCTTATTTACTAGCTACTTGATCATGGTCAAGTTACTTTATTTCCCTAAGCCATAGTTTCCTCATCTGCAAATTATGAATAATAGTATCTCATAGAATTGCTCTGAAGATTTAAAAAGATAATGAAATGCCACATAAAATGCTTAGCCCCACTACCTGGTTCACAGTAAGGACTTAAAAAACATTAGCAGCTCTTACTATCATAATCAGTATTACTGTTTATAATGTCATTGTCAGACTTGAAAAATGTGAGAAGTTACTAGTTGTCTGTAGAAATAAACATCAAAGCCCTCACTGAAATAGATTATATTCAACATGAAATTCTTTAAATTAGCATAAACAGTTAATATGTACCTGTTAAAAACATTTTAAAGGATGGTCATGTCTTTTAGCTGAACATTCTGGGAAACCAAGTAAAGCAGATAATTGTACAGTATGATAATCAAAAAAGAATGTCTTTATAAACAGCCTGAAATAGTTCCCCAGATGCAACTTGAATAAAGGAAATAAATGGTTGACTTGAGGTCAGAACAAGAATTCCTTAGTATGATTCATTAGACTCTGGAAACCCCAGCCCCACATTTTCCCACTCCCACTTGGTTAGAAAAATTTACATTGGGGTAGGATTACACTCTCGAGGCTATTTTCTAAAACATACTCTAAATTTGGATATTAAGTATGTAATCTTGGGCAGTTACCAAGTTTTTCAAATGAGTTCAAAGTTTTTGATGGAATTATTTGACAAAAATTCTTGGACGTTTGTCCTCCTTATTTCTGAAAATAGATATTTTTGGTTCCTGTATTTGGGTGACAAGTGCAGTAAAAATATAAAATAGCATTTTATATGTATTCTGTAACATTGGCTACAAGAATTCTTCGATAACTGAAGGATAATGTTTTCCTTTGTTCATGTTATCCTCAAAATAAAACAACAGGAGAGTCTTCTGCTTGCCTCTGCTTCTAGGTGTACAGTATTGCTCATGGTTAAAGTTAATTTAAATTAATTGGATAATATTCAGAATTAGTCCTCTTTTGTGAGAACTACAGAAAAGAGGGTTAACTACAAAAAAGCCGAACTATTGAGTCTACTATCAATTGGAAAATATTTCAAAGTGTTGCTTTTAAAGATGTCCTCTTTAATTAGACCTCAGTGCTAAACATGTTGAAGGAGCTCTGATGGTGCACTGGTTAAGCTCGTGGCTGCTAACCGAAAGGCCGGAGTTTCAAACCCACCAGCCGCTCCGCAGGAAAGAAGACCTGACGATCTGCTCCTGTAAAGGTTACACCCTAGGAAACACTATGGAGCAGTTTTCTTCTGTCATATAAGGTCTCTATATGTCATATGAGTTGGAATTGACTCAACAGCACACGGCAACAACATCTAAATGTGTTGAGAGGATAATTTCATATTTTGCTCTTCACTAAACATTCAGTTAGGGTTTTTCCATCTCCTGAAATTCTGAATAATTTTTTAGAAATAGTTTTTGTTAGGTATAATATTTTTAAATGTATGTATAGGAAAATGTACAAGGAATGCATGTATCTCTTTTCTAGAATTTGTAATAATTTAGCAAAAGCATAGCAACTGTAGGGTAATAATAGTAAGAGAGGAGTTTCCGATCGGAGTTTTTAACTTGCAGATTGCAACTCATTAGTGTTTTATGAAATCAATATAGTGGGTCCCAACCAATAATTTTAAAAAACAGAATGAAATAGAAAATATCAGAGTTTGTTGTATATAGTATTAGTGATACTGTTTTATGAAATTTTATTTTAGTGATATATATCATATATACATTAGACTCCTGGGTAGCTAAAATGGTTAAGTGCCTGGCTGCTAACCGAAAGATTGGTGGTTCGAATCCACCCAGCAGCACCACAAAAAAAAAGGCCTGGAAATCTACTTTTGTAAAATTACAGCCATTGAAAACCCTATGGAGTGCTGTTCTACTCTGCCATACATAGGATTACCATGAGTTAGAATCAACTCGATGGCAATGGGTTTTTTTTTTAATTATACACACACACAAGTTGTGTGTGTGTGTGTGAGTTGTGATATAAAATGTAGTCTTACTGTTGGTTGTGGTTAAAAAAAGTGCTGAAAACTCAGCCTCTTAGGTGATCTTTCTGTTCTTTGGTGTTTGGTCCAGGTACTTCAATCTCTCTCGGTTTCCATATCTTAGAAAGTGGTGCTGATGAACATGCATACTAACTTTGTTAGAATATGGTGATAATTAGTTAAGTGCCTGAGTGAATGAACATTCCCAGAAACTAATACACTATCTTATGACTGTAGTGATAATAGATTTCTCTTATGTTTTCTTTTGTGTTGTTTGTTTTTGGGTTTGTGTATATTTCCAATCTTTTTATTTTAGAAAATATTGATGCTGATGGACAGGGATTTTGTCAAGGAGGATTCAGCATTGATTTTACTAAAGTAAGTTCTCATTTAAGATCGAATGAGATTCAGATCTACCTTGTCCAAACTGTGGTTAAAAATGTATTGCTCAATTCTTCAGCTTCTGTAAAACCATTACCTGTTTTATGAAAACCGGTCATAAAGATGCCCCATGTAATTTAATATTCTTTGCCTTATATCAGTCCTCCCTCCCTAGCAGACATTGTTTATTTGGAATAGGGAGAAATCAGAATGGAAATGAAGGAAAGCAGAGAATCTCCTCAGTAAATGATAGGTAACTATTAATTCGTAGAATGTTAAAGTTTTCTAATTTGGACAGAAACTGTTTTCTCACAAAGGCTATCAGTGGGAGCTCTATTGCTAAATTAGGTTTAGTTACATAAAAGCTGAGAAACATGCATTTTAGCCATCTGTTATAGGCCTATAGGCACCAAGTGATGCTGGAGCAATTTAATAATTAAAAGAAATCTCAAGTGCAGAGCTCAATGTATTTTTAACTAATAATGTACTTTTCAGAGTTGATAGTTTTTATCTATTTTTCTAAAATAAGAATTCCTTTTATATTTTTAAAAGCAAATTTTCTTAAGTATTTTTCTTTATGTAAATTTTTTTTGTGGGGGGTATATGAACATTTTGAATAGTTTCTGTCAAATTGAGACTATTAATTCCTCCCAGAAAAGCCTAAAGAATATATTGATTGATTAAAAATAGATCCCCTTAGATATGGCTTTCTTAGAAAATATAAGCAAAGAAGAGCATCTTAAATTTATGAAAACAACAGAAATTATGATCCTGTGATACAGAAAAACTAATAAAGCATTTTCTTAACTTTAAAAAAAAATCATATTTCATTTTATTAATTTTTTTTCTAGACTAGGTACTGATAATTATAGTAACTCCCAATACGGGGTCATTGATTTTTAATTCACTCAATTTGATATTGCATTATTCATAATTCTGAAACTTAAGGAAGTCAAATAAAGAGATAAAGTTTATTGTTAATATTAGATTAAAAGTTACATGTTATATTTTAAAATAGGAATTATATTTTAAAAAGTAGTGCCCTTGTTTTCTGTACTCATGCCTGTACACTATAATCTCAGAACTATTCTCATACCATGAAGTCATTGCCAAATTGACTGTTCACATTCTTAAACCCATTCCTGAAAAAAAGATGTCATTTTAAGATGTCATTAAAGTGTCATGAAGACAGCTTAGAAGTATCTTTTATACAGCCATGGGCAAGAGTTTGTTGAAAGCTTGAAAGTGAATGTATGTACATTTGGAGAAAAAAAATTCTCTCACCTCCAAGAACAAGTAACTTAAAATATTGTGCTTAAACACTAAATACTTTGAATTACTATGTTTTAGATGTAAGACATGCTTGTCAAGTATAGTTTGTATATATAATGTACCCTGAAAAACTTAACCTCTAACTTTACTTCTGTTTAGAACTGTCAGACACTAGAAATAATTTTCCTTTAACAGAAGAGAAAATTCTTTAACGATTATTAGAGAATTTGCCTATATAGTCACAAGTCTAATGTACAAAATTAAGATGTGATCCTTTTTTCCTGTTGTGACCCCATATACTTCGTAATAGTACTTCATACCAAGTATAGGAGGTCTTTGACCCACAGATGCTTCTATATCTGCATGTCTCTATATATTAGCATGTTTTCCATATATTAAATGAATATAACTTTCCTTTTTGATTTTTATTGTGTTTTAAAAAGGTACAATGAAAACGACTGAAACTCACTATTTTTAAATATGCATTTTTTTATTTGATTCAATCTAGGCTGACAGAGTACTCCTTGGAGGTCCTGGTAGCTTTTATTGGCAAGGTAAGTTAATATTTTTTTAAATTACTCAACGACTGTCATCTCTGACATGCCTGATTTACCATGTGCCTGTGAGATTTTCCAATTATTTTAGAGAAAAAAAAATGGAAAATATAATTTTTAAGCATATAAACACTATTCATTACATAATACTTTTTAAAAAGGCATATAATATCTCCTGTGTGTGAATGTGTGTTCCTAGTAGAAAATAAACTGAGTATTTTTAAATTATAAATTTATACAGTAATTAAAAATAGTTTATTTTTGTTTGCTGTGTGCACTTTATAGTTCAGTCTCTAATTTCCTCACAGGTAACTTCTCTTCCATCTCTACTCTGGAGGCCATGATGTAAGCATTAGAAAGTATGTGTAACTGACTTGCAATAGGCAGTTGTGGTGTTCTGAAAGCTCATGGTATTTTGAAGATTCTCTTTAGAATATTTAAATGGTTATTTACTCACTAATCTCTGACACCAAGGATAATCTCTTTAAATATTTGGGACTTTTTCTTTAACAGAGGATCTTACTACGGTTTTAAAAAAATGTAATTAAGTTGGCATTGACATGAAGATAAAACACTACTTTCTTCAGTCATTGTGGGAGGCCTGATTATTATCATTTAAACAAGTGTATGACAGATTATTATTTGCTGACAGCTTGAAAATAGGTAACTAAACCTGTCTTATTTGCTCAGTTGTTTCACTTACCATTGGAGATACACAATTATTTATTTAGTTAATATTTTGACATTATTTTCTGCCAAAAAAGTGCAGTTTACGAGGTCAGAACTCGGTTTATTAGCATTCTGGTATACCAGCATTGTCAGTATTTGGAAGATTGGAAGACCTTTGACTATATTGATTTGCTAGTACTTTCTAACTCTGGATTTTACTTCTGTATTCTACGCTATGCTTTTCTTACCTGTACCTTTGTAGGAGAACCTTTGCTTGTTTCTGCTTTATGGAAAGAGAAGCTATAAAAAGAGATTTGCTGAAGGAAAGTAGATGGGAAGATGAATGAGAAAGAATGAGAGATGAGAATAGGTTAAAGTTGAAAGGGAAGGGCAAAACAGGAAATGAAGAAAAGAGAAAAATCAGACAAAGTCAGAGGCATACTAACTAAAATTGAAAAATTTTGAATTTTGCATTTCTACTGGGAAATGAAATGATTTAGGCAAAATTACACTTGAAGTTTATAGTTTTAAAATGAAAACAAAACCCAGCATTTCTAAGGTGTATATGAGAAAAGAGGGTATATGAATACTTTCTAATGAGATATGGACTTGTTTTTCTTCTTTACTGCTGGGTGTGTCTTTGTCTGGAGGGAAGGAGAGTGTCTGATGTGCATGCCCCGGAACCAAAACGGTCAGGCAACGATTTTCAGTCACGACTGCTGGTTAACTCTGCCTGTTTAAGAAACACAGTTGTGAACATGTTTAAATGACTTGTGCTTTTATAATTTGAGTATTACATAAGGTCTATATGTACTCCTATTTATTATAAATTAGTACAGATACAGATACTGTTGATGATGTTCATTGGAATTTTATTATAAGTGGCCTATAATATGTAACTAAAGGGCTTGGTGAAAGGGTAGAGAATATTTTGTTTTAGTAAGATTAAAGTCAGGAAGTTTCAACCTGGATAAGTATGCTGGAATGAATTTTTCCATAGATCTCAGAATTGTCCCTGGAAAAAAGAGAAAATGCTACTGATACTGTTTTTCTATTACAAAGAGATGATGGATTTTCCTGTGTTCTTTGACGCAAGAAATATCTCCTGACTTGCTATATGTGTTAGGCACTGTTTAGGCACAGAGGATAAAGCAGTAAACCAGCCAGAAAGTGTTTCTGCCTGGTAGACTCAACCTATGGGAATGGACAAATTGGAACAGCACTGAAAAGTTTAGCTATTATGAATTTCTTCCTAAAACAGCAAAAATAGATTGTTTTTACCATGTTGTGAACATGACATTTGATTTATGTTAATAAATGTTTATGTTTATGATAAATCAACCTATCTTTTTTTTTTTGGTGGAGTGGGGGGGCAGTCTGATTTTTGTGTAATCATCTAGATTTCTTGTCCACGTAATAACTTAGGTTGTGAAAAAAAGTGACTTAGCCCAGACAGACTGCTTCATAAAGGTGTCCAAATAACTAGTTTAAGAAAATCAATTCAATCAATAATTCTGATTGTAAAGATAGCATTATTTAATTGTTTCAGCAGAGTTTTCATGTTTTAACAGATTTGGTTGGGTAATTGCCCTTGATTTTATTATTCTGTTTATATAACATTGATTTTTAGCAAATTAAAACAAATCCTGTAATTCTCAAATATCTGCTTATTGGCAGAGACTGATTTTAAGTACTGTCAGAATAGAAAGAATTATAAGAAAAAAAAATAAAATTGCAGATTTAGTATTAAAAATGAGAGTTAATTAAGGTTAATATTTAGAAATACTAATATATAATGCTATTGTTTCCTTTTATGCAGGAGCCATTCATTGTTTGCATAATACAGTTCCCATTAGAAGGTTATCATTAATATATATCTATCTTCTATTTCAGAAAGCCTGGTGGCGTAGTGGTTAAGAGTTCAGCTGCTAACCAAAAGGTCAGCAGTTTGAATCCACCAGGTGCTCCTTGAATACCCTATGGGGCAGTTCTACTTTGTCCTATAGGGTCGCTATGAGTCAGAATTGACTCAATGACAGTGAGTTTGGTATGGTTTTATCTTCTATCTGGAGCTCTGGTGGCACAGTGGTTAAGAGTTTGGTTTGGTTTTTTGGTATCTTCCATCTATCTACTTTTGTTTTTTTTTTTCAGGTCAACTAATTTCAGATCAAGTGGCAGAAATCGTATCTAAATATGACCCCAAAGTTTATAGCATCAAGTATAATAACCAGTTAGCAACTCGGACTGCACAAGCTATTTTTGATGACAGTTATTTGGGTAAGAAAAACCAAAATATAGACTCTCTTTACAAAGTTGTGGTGTGTGTGTGTCTTATATTTGTGCATGCTACTTTCGGTACAAAAATCTTTCATGTGTAACATATTAGGATTTTAAAAAATAGAGTGAACCTACAATTGTAACTTGTTATTGCATGCTTAAGTTATGTTACATTTCAGTAATTTAAATTTATTAGAGTTTATTTTTATCATAATAATAGCAGCTAACATTTAAGATGTGATTACTGTGTTCTTGACATTGTTCTGAGGGTTTTATCTATGTTAACTCATTTAATCCTCACAGCAAGTCTATCAAAGTGTGCTCTTATTATTCCTATTTTATAGATGAGGAAACTGAAGCACAGAATGGCAAATAAACTTGCCCAGTATCAGTCACTCATAACTTGCTGGTCTGGCATGCAAACCTAGGAAGCCTGGCTCCTGAACTTTTATCTGCTATTGTAAACAGCTTTGGTCTTTAGAGTTTATTAATCTGTTTCTTTTTTCTCTCTTTTTAAATTTATCTTTTATTTATTTAACCAAGTCATACACTGCAGACATAGTACTTTACTGATTGAGAGAATCTGTTATTATTTGTTGCTCTTTTATGATGAATTACAAATTTACCTTGTTTTTAACTCACTTATTTGTAAAGTTAGTAAAACAGTCTTGCTTTTCTAGTAGAGATATCCTATTTGAGTCAATTATTTTCTTTAAGATTTGTTTGTCTTGTACATATGATGAATCTGTTACCCCTAGAGGACAAAATATTCCATAATTAAAGGAATTGCTTGAAAATATTTTCAAGGAAAGTTGACTCAGCAAGTATGCTGAAGGTGACTGTCCTGTCTTGATGGTGTTTACCTTTGCTTGCCTGTTTAGGTTACTCAGTGGCTGTTGGAGATTTCAATGGTGATGGCATAGACGGTATGATTCTCTTGAATTATATTAAATCCTTTTTTAAAGTTTAAATCAAACATTTGAAACATTTTTACATTGAAATATTTCAGGAGTTATATAGTTTTGAAACCATGGTTATGGAATATAACGTAAGAAATGAGGGAGACGTTAGTGCATTGACAGGACTCGAGAGCTCAGTCATTGTTGATCGCCCTCTAGTGGCCGTTGAAATTGAGGCAGCTGTCTTCCTCAGTCTCTTGCGCTTCTCCCGCTCCTTTCTAGCCCCCAGCACTTGCAGTTATTCCTCCAGCCTCCTTCCTTTTTGCTTTCAACGAAGTTACTCCTCTTGAAGAGGCTTTATTTCTTCTTTCTTTAGGCATAATTTGTAGCCTTCTGCTTCCAGGTCTGTGTCTGTAATGTCCTTATCTCCTCCTTCCTCAGTCTATCAGTCTTCCTTCAGAGCTCAATTTAGGAATGATGGACTGCACCTGATTTTTATCACATTTCTGTGCCACAGGCCCCATCCCACCTCTTTCAGTTTGCTCTGTATTATTTTTCAATAGTGTAAATACAGCTTTTCTTCATTCTTAAGTCACTTTATCTTACCTATTCTCTGTTAACAGGATTATAAATGCCTTAAGGGCAAGCATGCATTTATTAGAGAGTCCTCAATAGTCTTGCTATATTTTGTAAAGGTTTGATCCTGTGGTTAAAAAATGCTGGGGCCATTTATTATGGGTTACCAATTTAAAAAAAAAATCACTTGTATCTAAAATACAAAAAAAAAAAAAAAGAATTATCTATGTGGGATCAGATTGACAACAGCAACTCAAAATGTTTGATGGGAAGCCTAGGGGACAGTGAGTTGAAGACAATGATAATGGAATAATTTGGAGAAGGATAGTGAGAATAGCAGCACCACTGGAAGAACGTAATCTATGTCACTGAGTTGTACATGTAGAAATTTTTGAAGTGGCGTAGCTTTAGCTATGTATATTTTCACCAAAAAAAAAGTCCTCCAAGGTCGAGAAGGGAGAGTGTTGACATGTCGTGGGGTTGTTAACCAATGTCATGAAACAATATGTGTACTGACTTTTTAATGAGAAGCTATTTGTTCTGTAAACCTTCACCTAAAGTACAATAAAAAATAAAATAAAATAAAAAAAAATCACTTGTTTATTTTCTACTGAGATAATAAAACAAGCTTTCTGACACATCCACTTCCTCCTGCAGTTTCCAGTCTTGGTCTTAAAATAAGTGATTAAGGCTTTTTCTTTTCCTTCTAGATTTTGTTTCAGGAGTTCCACGAGCAGCAAGAACTTTGGGAATGGTAGGAAAATTAAAGGGTGTTTTTAAAAATTGCTGGGCCTTCTTATATTTTACTATATTTCATATATTTTTGTTCTTCCTGTACAGGTTTATATTTATGATGGGAAAAACATGTCTTCCTTACACAATTTTACTGGTGAGCAGGTATGTGTTCAAAATAGTATTTTTCCTCTCTGATTGGAAAAGCAGTATATACTCTTGGGAGAAAATTTGGAAAATAAAAAAAAATTATAAAAGCCAACTATAATTCCATCAAACAGTTAACTATTGTTATCATTTTGGTGTATTTCTTTCTCTTGTGTGTGTATGAATGTGTGCATATAAAACAAAAATTGGTGTATGCTATATTTTTAATTTTGTTTTGTTTTGTTTTTTTACTTAACCTTTTATCATCGGCATTTCCTGATTTCTTAAGACTTTCCTTGGCAACATCATAATGGTTTAATGATCTCATAGTGTTCTATATTATAAATGTAAGATAGGCTTTAAATATTTCACCTTTGTTTAAATCAAAGTAATTTGTTTAAACAAAGCCTTTAGATTCCATATTATGGCTGGGTTTTCTTTTTTGTTTATTTGGTATGGGTTTTATTAAGGAAATACAAAATCAAATTGTGTACGTACATGTCACACACACAAAACCACAAAAACTTTCTTTTTTTTTGCTTATAAAATTCTAATTTAATACGTCTTTTAGTTTTAGTAGATACATAAAGAATGACACAGATATGTATATTACAGATACTACAAGCAAACTTCATTTATTTGAACTATATGTACTAGCATATTCTGTTAAAAAGTAATGGTTTTAAGTACTAGACATTTTCTATAAGTACAGGCATTTTATAATATTCTGTATTGTATGTCTCAGAGAATTAAATGATAAGTTAGTAATGATAAAGGAAAAATTAAACAGTAGATGGAAAAACGAATTATAGGGTACAGATTGTTGGGCTTTGGGAGAAGATTGACAGGATGGAGAACTAGACTCATGGCCCCCAGAGGCCCCTTCCCTCTTTTGTTGCAGTCAGTTGATGTACAACATGGAGTGGACGGCAGTTGGCAGGCAGGTTATGGCTGCCGCAGTGGTGGTTATCCCTCTGTGTCGTTGTGTCTTCTTCATCTCAGACAACTTCTGTCTGTTGCCCATGTGCAAGTCTCTGGATCGTTTGTATACTTTATTTTTCCTTAGCCATTTTGTGGGGAAAAGACATGTGCTTTGGATTAGGATAGACCTGGCTGTCTGTATTCAGTCTGTTATTGCAATGGACAGGGCATTTACCACTGTAGATCTGGTTCCTCATTTATAAAAATAGGGACATTATTTAACTTCCTCATGGGGATGTTGTGAGTATCAGAGGAAAACACTTCAGTCATAGAGCCCAGGACAAAACTTGTCCCAGTAAATACCATCTTTTCTTTATCCTTTCAGGGCAACACTCTGTAAGACTAAGGTCCAAGAATATTATTCTGTTAAATTCTAGGCACCTGGTACTCCAGATATGGTATACTTTATTACACACGGTCCGATCTTATGATTGAATACAGAACATGCCTTTCATTTTCTCAATTACACTGTACCTACCAAAATAGATAATATGGGAATCTCCCTTATTATTCCCTCCTAATAGCTCTAGTAATCAAATTTTGGAAGCTTTACTAACTTTCCTTTTTGGGTTTTTTGACTCATTCTTTGCCTTGGTTCAACTTTAATTTGTCATCTTTCCTAGTTTTATTTTGCTTGTTGGGCTCTCTTTAGAACTTCCCTTTTCACATTTCTTTCTAGCCAAACTGCTCTGTTTCTGATGACCAGCATTCTGCTGTGGTGGGGGAGAGGACATCTCTTCTTTCTACCCATAATAACCTGTAATAAACCCAAACACATAAGTACACAAAGGACCGGGCAGTGTTTCTTTCTGTCGTACATAGGGTCACTATGAGTCGGAACTGACTCGACAGCACCTAACAACAACAACAACTGTTGTATAATTCAACAGCAAAACGACCTAGCAAGTAATCGATTGAGCTATGAGAAAAGAACTACCTTCTTTCCATACCTTTTCTTTCAAACAGCAATTTCTTTAGGGTAGTAATAGTTCCACATAGGAGAGCCAGCTTTTCAGTTTGTTAATAATTGTTATCTATTATCCTTGTGGCATAGTGGTTAAGAGTTTCGCAGTTCGAATCCATCAGGTGCTCCTTGGAAACCCTATGGGGCAGTTCTTCTCTGTCCTATGGGGTCGCTATGAGTTGGAATCGACTCGACGGCAATGAGTTTGTTTTTTTTGGTATCCTTGATGTATAGACATTCACATATAACTTCTTGGATTCAATTAAAATACCTGTCTGCAAATGTATGTCTGATCTGCAGTGAGTCTGCTGGTGTCTGGAGTATTTGAGGTGATGGAGAAGAAGGAGATAATAGGTTAGGCCTCCTAAGGAAAGTTGATTTTACTTTGCCTTTAAATGGCATGTGTTGGAGACATTGAGAAGACATTGGATTGATATATATGGAATATGCTTTGCCCATAAATCTAGTGAAATACACAGACCTCATTACCTGATTGTCATTGTGTTGGTAGAATAACCAAAAAAGAAGAAATTTAGATTGAAGGGCTAATGAAGAGGAAAAACAAAAAAACTTTATTTGATAAATATACTACAAATGTTAATTTTCTAAACTTGCTGGATGAAATGTAAACATTTCGTTTTCATCTTGTTGTCCAGATGGCTGCATATTTCGGATTTTCCGTAGCTGCCACTGACATTAATGGGGATGAGTAAGTTTACAAAAATGCTCCCAGAAATTGTTTTCTCTTGTGTTTATGAACATTTTACTAAAACTGAACAGTTTTTCTTCTGTTTCTCTGTCCCCTTCTTGCTAATCTTTCTATTTAAGAAACCAATTTGAAGCAACTTCAATCACAAATATTAGAAAACTTCTGTGTTGGCCATAATTCCAGCTTTTATGCCATCAAAGAGTAAAGTAATTTTATGAATGACTTTTAGTTTCTAAAAAGAGTTTAAAGAAGGCTTGGATTTGAAATAATTGCTATGTTGTAACCACTTTATACCTCATTGTGGCTGTGAGAGATATGGAAGAGGGAAACTGTGTTTTAATAAAAAAGAACATGGTTATTAATAATCAGGTAGAATTTCATCTTGCTCTGGTGAAATTATTCCGTTCTTTTAGCTATGCAGATGTGTTTATTGGAGCACCTCTCTTCATGGATCGTGGTTCTGATGGCAAACTCCAAGAGGTGGGTCAGGTCTCGGTGTCTCTGCAAAGAGCTTCAGGAGACTTCCAGACAACAAAGCTGAATGGGTTTGAGGTCTTTGCAAGGTTCGGCAGCGCTATAGCACCTTTGGGAGATCTGGACCAGGATGGCTACAATGGTAAGATCAAAGTTCAGCGACTGTGGGTCCTTAATTCTCTATGCCGTCCTGGAAAAGTCCTATAATTTTGTTTGTTGAATTTTACTAGAGGCAACCTTCCTGGAAAGAAGAATTGAGTGACACACCTGTTAAAAGGCATCACTGCAAAGTTTTCCGAAATGGACCCCATGAATTATCCATACACTTCCAAGTTAGAGTGTTGGAATGATTAATTTCTGAAAATAATAATCTGCTTGCCCAGTGGGCAAAGTGCTAGGTAATGATTTTCTGAGTCTCTGTGTCCTGCTTAGCAGCAGTGCCCTCTGCTGTCCAGTTGGCTACAGTGTGAAAAATGCTCCTAGCTCATTGTCTGGGCAGCGCTGACTCTAATGCATACCCCACACACACCTCAAAGGCAGTGGATTGATTTGTGATTAATATTTTTAAAGCTTTAACTTTGCTCTGGTTGCCTAAAATACTCTGAGCGAGTTTATATCCCTTATGTCTCCTTTTATGCGGGACACGTTAAAGGCGCAAGCCCACAGTTCCATTTCAATAACTGTAGACATCTTTAAAAACAAAGTCGACTTTTATTATAGAACACTATTCCAAACCATGAAATATAGGTTATTAATCACCAAATTTGTTTGTTTGTTTTTTTTTTTTAAAGAATACTGTTATAAACTTTTCTAGAGATCACAGAACGGAAATTTTTAACTGTTGGTTTGTGTAATCAATAATATATAGGGATATGCCCCTTAAAATATAAAGTTATATATTAAGAAGAAAACTTCAAAAATAGAGATGACTCTTTTATTTCTTAAATAGTAGTGGAAAAGAATATGCTTGTTTGGCGTCAAGACTCTACTCTTACCTCATAGGTGATTTTATGGCATGTAATAAAAATATCTAAGATTAACTTTAAAAGTTCTTCAGTTTTAGAGAAAAACTACTCAGAGGTGCATTTTGCTTTCAAAAATAGAGTCTTAAAATTTTTTACCACCAAGAGAAATTAACATAAATCAAATGGATCAGTGGTATAAAGGTAACAGTAGAGACTGAAAAGAATACTACGGAACAGACCAAACCATTGCTCATTAATAACCAAAGCAACCGAGAAAATAGAGGGTCAGAGTTGAAGTTCTACCTTAAATAAAGTTAATGAGTTCTCTGCAATAGCTCGGCCTCTGTCTTCCAGGTTTTTTCTGGGAGAGGTTTTCTGGCATGTTGGCTGTCATCTTATCTTTAGGGTGTTTTATCCACTTTAAAGAATTTTCCTCACTATTATGGCCATCCTGCTTTCTTTCTTTTTTTTTTCTTTGTTAAAATGTGTTATTTGCCATCACAGCAAATATAAACCATAACAACAACAAAATTGAGGTTTTACAGAGATTTTACAAAGATGGACTTTAGGGATAGATAACATAGAGGCCGATTATGATCTTCCATGGTTTCTCCTTAGATCTTACTGTTCAAATAGTAGATTGTGAAGATAATGTCTTTGGTGGAAGGTAATCTGAGTTGTTTTTATGTAACTATGGATAATGAGCTCTTTGTTATAATCTCTATCTTTTCTTGTTCATACCTGAAGACCTTAACCCTTTACTGCTCCTTTGTTGCGCCCTTTTTACCTCCTCCCATCACAAAAACACTAAGTGTCGTTAAGAAAGATACCAAAAACAAAACAGCAAAGCTAGGTTCCTCACTTTTATATACCCTTGGGGTAATTATGTACAGTTTTGGTCAGTACTTCTTAAGAAAGGTAGAGAAAAAAAGAAAGAAAAAGCAACAACTACCAGAAAATGGCACCTAAGATGATCAAAGGAAGAACTAGATTGCATGAAGAAATAGGACTCTTCCTACTATAGGTGACAGCCTCAAGAGAGATGATTAGAATGTACAAAAGAATGAAAGGTTTAGAAAAGGTACACATAATTTTCATTAAACGGTCCCTCAACACTAGAGCCATCTTCTGTTGGGCAGTTGTATTTTAATAAATACATTCTTAATGCACGTATCAACTTAAAGGTTAAACTTATCTTTCGAAGCTTAGAAAAGGGCAAAAGAAGGATTTTTTATATAATTTAAATACTACTTTTTCTTTAAGGGTAATAAACTTATTCATTCAACAAATTTAGTTGGTGCCAACTGCTGACAAAGCACTGTTCCAGGTGCTGAAAATGAGAGGCTAAATCAGAGCCCGTTTGTGTCCTTAAGGAACCCAGCATTCCATAAGACAATGTATATATGTAAGCAAATAAACACTAGAATTTGATCATCTCAGTGTTTACGATATTCCTGGGCATAATGGTCTCATAAAGGATAAGTGATCAAGGTGTCTTTTATGTTTTAGGGGATGTGTCATTAAAGAGACATAAAATAGTTTGGGTACAGTAGGGAAACTGAGGCATTTTCATATGACTGGTGCGTATGGGGCCATGACCGGCAAGAGAAAAATGCTTCTTGCTCTCATGAAGCTGACATTGTTAAGGAGGAGCAATAGAGTAAATAAATAAACAAATAAGAGGAAAATTCAGATAGTGATAAGGTAGTAGGCCCTCAAAAAAGAGTAAGGTAATGTGGTAGAGAGTGCTTGGTAGCTGGTGGGTAGAGGGTCAGGAGGGGCGAGTGCATTGTTTCACGGGGGCCAGGGAAGACATCTCTGAGGGGATGACATTTGATCTGCAGTAGGAGCAAAGCTAGAAAAGCTGTAGAGCAAGAGCTGTTGGGGGCAGAGGAAACAGCGTGTGTAAGCCCAGGGATGAAAACTAGCTCCATGTATTTAAGAAACAGAAAAATAGGCCAAGGTACTGGGAAGAGTGAGTGAGGGGAAGACTACAGGGACAAGGGAGGGAGAGGGGGAGGCAGGCAATGAGATTTACAAGTTAAGCAGTGGTCAGACCAGGTAGGGTTTAGGTCTTACTCTAAATGCTTTGGGAAATAATTGAAGGATTTTAAGGAGGGAGTGGTATGATCTATTTAACATTTGGCAGTTTCAAGGAGAATGGTAATGGCTTAAAGGAGTAAGAGTAGAAGTGGGAGACCACTTAGGAGGCTGCTTGGAGGCCCAGGCAAAGGATGAGAGTGGGTTGTCTAGGGTCATAGCAGCAGAGATAGAGAGAAGTGGACATATTTGTAATATTAGAGATAGAAAAGTTAGAGTGATCATTTGGTGATTTTTTTTAAGAACTTCAAACTTATTTGTTTACATATTTCAATACATGTTGAACAAGATCAAAATGAAGCCATGTAGAAATTGCAAAATGGGTATATGTTTTGCTGTGTATATATTTTCACCAAAAGTAAAATTTACAAATATATGTATTGTTTAATATCCTTGTCATTGAAATCGTGAGGAATTGTTAAAAATGTATTGAATTAGAATCTCTGATGGGGATAATCTACATTAAAAAAAAAATGAGTACCTGTCATTCTCCTGCATACTGTAATTGGAGAGCCATCTTATGTCAATAATAAAACATTTGTAGACTATTTACAATATTCTGGGTCATGTACCAAGCTGTGAGCATGCAGTAATATAACTTAATCTCAGAGGATCTATAGTAAGTTGAATTGTGTCCCCCTAAAGCATATGTTCAAGTCCTTAACCCCTCCCTCTCTGTGAATGTGACTTTATTTGGAAATAGGGTCTTTGCAGAAGTAACTAAAATGTAAGTTAAGGTGAAGACATACTGTAGTAGGTGAGCTTAATCCAATCACCAGTGTCCCTGTAAGAAGAGACAGACACAGAGATATGGACACACAGAAGGCCATTTGATAAAGGAGGCAGCAGTTGGGGTGGGGAGTGAGTAAGGAAGATCGAAGAAGAATTGTGTTGGTGAAGAATATTGAATATACCATGGACTGCCAGAGGAATGAACAAATCTGTCTTGGAAGAAATACAGCCAGAATGCTCCTTAGAAGCAAGGTTGGCGAGACTTCGTCTGACGTACTTTTCACATGTTATCAGGAGGGACCAGTCCCTAGAGAAGGACATCATGCTTGGTAAAGTAGAGGGTCAGTGAAAAAGAGGAAGACCCCCAACGAAATAGATTGACACAGCGGCTGCAACAGTGGGCTCAAGCATAACGACTATTGTGAGGATGACACAGGACCAAGCAGTGTTTTGTTTTGTGGTACGTAGGGTTGTTGGCAGCCACCAAAAGCTAGAAGAAGCAAGAAAGGTTTCATGCCTAGACCTTAGGAGGGAGTATGGCTCTTCCGACTCTTTGATTTCAGACTAGTAGCCTCCAGACTGTGAGAACATAAATTTCTCTTGTTTTACGCCAATAAAATAAAATGAAAATTTTAAACTTATTTGTTAATATTATTTTGATACATGTTAAGCAAGATCAAAATGAAATTATAACTTGCAAACTTCTGAACCACATGGACTTCTACTCCGCAGGAGCTAAAAACCATGCCTAAAGAAATTAATTAGAATTTTGAGAGCTAAAATTAACCTTAGATAAATCTTTTGAAACCCTCTCCCAACTGTCATTTTAAAGATGAGGCAGTTGAGGTCCAGAAAAATCAGACCCAGAGTATGTTCTCCAAATTAATGTCACTTCTACATGGTTTCTCTTAAATCTCCTTGAATTAGATTGTTGCTTTTAAATAAAGAGTACCCTACTGAACTTTGAATTACTATTTGTCATGATAAGTGGATTCTGTAACTATTAGGATCTTCTTCATTAAATAATCGCAAGTTCTAAGGCTTTCTCGTTCTCTCTCCTTGCCCTCTTCTCCTTCTCCTCCCCTTCTTTTTTCCACTCCTCCCCCACTTCTTTTTCCCCCTCTCTGCCCTTTCTTCTGTCCTTCCCCTCTCTCTCCCTCTCCTTTTCTTACCCCAACAGATATTGCAATTGCTGCTCCATATGGGGGTGAAGATAAAAAAGGAATTGTTTATATCTTCAATGGAAGATCTACAGGCTTGAATGTGGTACCATCTCAAATCCTTGAAGGGCAATGGGCTGCTCGGAGCATGCCACCAAGCTTTGGCTATTCAATGAAAGGAGCCACAGATATAGACAAAAATGGATATCCAGGTGCTTTCCTATAAATAGTATATCTATTTATAGTTATTAGATTTTGTCAGTCCTAATAGCAAATAATATTAGTTGTGTCTCTCTTGACTGATACTATAAATCATCTCAATTCAATATTTCAAGTATTGTTCAAGCCCCTAATATATTTAAGGCCCTGTTCTCATCACTGAAGGGGATATAAAAGAAAGACAGCTCCATTTGCTGGGTATTTGCAATAGAAAGCACATACTCTACTGAGTTCCTTCTTCTGTTGTCTTGAAGTCTATTATAAAATGTCAGAGAAAAAACTATAGAAACTATAAACAAAAATAAATGCTGTAAATGCTCATTCTAAGTTTTTAAATTGTTAACCAGCTTTTTTGAAAGACCTAGCATGTGTGTGACCTTGACTGATCATTGTGGCTTTTTAAAATATATTATAAATGCAATATACTTATTGTAGAACTTCAAAAAATACAGCAAAGCTTATCTTCCAGTCTTTTTTTCTAAACATTCATACATACTTTTTTTACAAAATAAAATCATGCTTTATGCACTATTCACAGCATATTTTAATTACATAAAGTCTCAAACGTTTCCACATGTTATTAGTCTTCTAAAACATGGATTTTATGTTTCCAGTTGCATTACATGGGATAACATATCCTGCTTAGCCTCATCGAACATTTAGATCCTCGTATATAATTCTAGTGCATACCTCTGATAATTTCGTTAGGACAAGATCCTAGTATTGCTATGTCAAAGGTTTACACTTTTTTTAAAGGCTGTTGATACACACTGTCAAATTACAACTCCACTCCCTCCAGAAGAAGGTTTTGTCAACTATTTTTAGCCCTCATCAGCAGTAAATGAGAATGTTCATTTTCCCACACTTGTGCCTAGACTAGGTGTCATCTTCTGTTACTTTTAGAATAATTTTTAACTGTTTGATAGGTGGAAAATGTTGTTTTAATTTAACTTATATATTTTGTTTTTTAGTGAGGTTAAGCATATTTGTGTTGGCATGCATTTTTATTTTTGTGAATTTCCTTTTTATGTCTTTTTTCCCCCTCCTTTTCTATCAGAATGTTTTTCTTTCATTGATTCATTGATTTTTTTTTTCTTTAAAGCACAATGCCAGTGCTTTATATATTGAGGATATTAATTCTTTAACTCTCATATATGTTTCCCAGTTTGTCACATTTACATTTTGGGCAAAAGAAGTTTTTAATTTTTATGTAATCCAGTCTGCCTGTCTATATGGTTTTTCATGTGCTTTTCTGCTTAGAAAGGGCTTCCTCAAGTTTAGCTTGGGTACAGAGTTAAGTTTTTCAAATGGGGAGCCAGTTGTGCTAGTACATTCTGCTCTTGCTGATTTGAATGCTATCTCCTATCATATTCTAAGTATGTGTATTGTGCTTTTCTGGTTTTGTTTTGTGTTTTGAAATTGTAAAATTCATAGGTATCTGTAAAGCTTTTTTCTACTGGGGCTATGTATGTTTGGCGGGGGTGTACATTTTCTTATTGTTGCTGGTTTTTATTAAACAGCCATAAAAAAACTCTTGTCTGTTGGATGAAAACCTAGTTTATGATGAGCATTTGTCATTGATGATAGCATATTTACAGTTTTTCTGTATTTTAGCCTTTTAGATGTTTTTGTACAACCATTTAATGAAGAATAGTTTTAATAATATGTCTAAATCGTTATTATGCATTAGAGGTTTTAGAGAATGGTATATGAATTTAGTAACCATTATTATTATTAACATGTTTTTGCACTATCTCTTAAGATTTGATTGTAGGAGCTTTTGGTGTGGACCGAGCTGTCTTATACAGGTGGGCCTGTTTCCATATCTTGTAATATAGGAGTCGTCTGAATTATTTGAAATCTTTATAGTTAAGAACCAGAGTTTCAATTTCAATCTTTTCCTCTTGAAATATTGATTAAAGTTTTTTGTTCTTTTGATTCAAGATTTGTTGTTTGGTGGATGTCATCAAGTCAATTTTCGACTCATAGCAACCTCATCTGACAGAATACAACTGCTCCATAGGGTTTTCTAGACTGTGATCTTTATGGGAGCAGATCACCAAGTCTTTCTCCTGCAGAGCCTCTGCATGGGTTCAGACCACCAGCCTTTTGCTTAGCAGCTGAGCGCTTAACCATTGCTCCACCAGGGCTCCTTATTCAAGATTTACTGTAGGCAAATAATATTTATACAAAGAGGACCCGAGGAAGAGAAAGTTGTAGATATTTTTATTTAGAAAAGCATTCAGGATTTTTCCTTAGTTCTTTAAATTATGTTCAAAGATATTCTATATTTTTAATTGCTTTTTAAAAATCGTATAAGTTTTCATTTTCTTATGAGACAAGAAACTAACTTGGTGCCTCTGACACAGTATTCTGTGACCATAAGGGGCAGTATGTAATTAGTCTAAAAATGAATATTCTTATTAGAGAAACATGATGAAGTTCACATATTTCTGTTTTCCAAATTTATACATAGTCCAGTCACTGACTGTATTTCATCAGTTCATTATGCCTTAGAATATCATCTGACTTCCCAAGTAGATTAAAATGTTTCCACTTTATGGGTCATGTTTCTACATAGTAGGAAAACTAACAGAGTTTGTGATGGATCAATTTAACTGCTGCTGTAGGGGCAGCATGTGTACTTATAAATCCCAGAGATTTATGGCTTTCAAAAAAGGCACACTGACCTGAGCCTAATGTAATTTTGTTCAGGTTTTGAACCTGTGCATCTGAACATTTGCAGCTGGATTTTAATTTGCTGTTTTGCTGTTTTAGTTTTTTCAATGATTATTAATGAACTAATACATGCAGATGGTAAAAATTCAGACAATACAAAAGTGGCGTAAGTGACAATTTAAAAAAAATACATTTTCTTCCATACCAGTCACTAGTTTATTTGTGTATCCTCCGGGAAGTATTCTGTGCATAAACAAATCGTGTGTGTGCGTGTGCACGTATCCTTTATACCTAGTGCTTTTTTTTTTTTTTCCTCTCCTACTAAAGTTATGTCTTGGGTATATCTTAGAGATCATTGCATATGAACACAGATGGATTTACAGCACTCATGTTTTCCCGTGGTATTGTTTGGAATTAGGTAGGTATCCTACAACTTATTTAGCTAATCTGCTTTAGTATTTAGCTAGGGTGACCAACTATTCCAGTTTGCCTAGGGGTTTCCCTGGACACAAGGACTTTCAGTGCTAAAATCAGGACAGTCCTGCCAAACCGGGATTACTGGTCATCCTACATTCAGGCTTTGATTTTTTCTTTATTAGACATTGCTCTGTATATGCTGTGAATCTGAACCTAAAATGTTTGGAACAGTATAACGTTTATTTTTAAATAACTTTTTCTTCTACCTTTTCTTATCTTTTTACCAGGGCCAGACCAGTTATCACTGTAAACGCTGGCCTTGAAGTATACCCCAGCATTTTAAATCAAGATAATAAAACCTGCCCACTGCCTGGCACATCTCTCAAAGTTTCCTGGTAAGAGCATTTGATGAATGAATTTATTTTGGGGTTATTGGTTCAATAATCATTAAAAAAAAAAAAATCATTGGAAATTATTGAAAATGAAGAGGATACTAAAATATTGCTAAAACAGTTCTATAAATACACTCTATTTTCATGTCATAGATTGCATTATAGAAGTATTGCTCCAAATAAGTCATCCAGAAGCCTCCAGAAATATTTTATAAACTAGAATAAGATTATATTTTAAAAGAATGCATGCTCCATGAATATATTCATAAAGAAGAAATAGCTAATAAGATCTCAGAACTCATTTAACTCTAAATAGGTCCACAGACATTTTAATTTTTAAAAGATGAGTTCTTTTTCAGATTCAGTATCTGTGAATCACTAGCTATGAAGAAATTTTATTTTGCTATAATTTATTGTTCTTCTGCTTTTTCCTTTACTAATTTCTAAAGAAAAACTATATTATTCTTTTGAAAGTCCAGTGTCTGAATTCTCTGTATTATCAAGTCTACATCATTTTGTATGCTGTTCTCATTATTTTTGCTACATTTTTATTCTACCTATATTATTTTCTTAAAAAAAATTTTAAAATTGATTCACTATTTCCTTTAAAATATTTTAAAATAAAATAAAGTGAAGAAACCAGGATTTTTCTAACACATGTCAAAATAAATGTAAAACTTATGTGATAAAAAATTTGACCCATACACTATTAAAGTCACCTTGGATACCCTACTTAGGGAAATACTGCTCAAGTTCTTTGCTCACATGGAGAAATTAGAGAGACTGTGTAGATGAAAGTACAATGATTGAAAGCTGGGAAATTTTTTTAAAAGCTAAAAAGTATTTTTTTCTGATTTTTGCTTTAGATTTATTACTGTAGTTATTAAAATCACTTCAAATTTTTATTTTTTCTTTGGATTATATTGGAAATTCAGTAATATTTGGTCTTCATTTTTATTGATTGGCGGTGGACTTGTTTTTAGAACTTTGGCTTTAAGTTCCACTGCCTTTCTTCCCTTCTTTCATCCTTCATGTCCCTCTGAAGTTGCTAATAATATGCTTATAATTATGCTTATAATTCAAAGGCTTCGAATGCACTAGAGTAGGAGCTTTCAAATGTTTTTGACCAAGACACATGGTAAGAAATACATTTTGCATCATAACCCAGTAAACACATATAATTGAGTCAAAAGTTTAACGAAGTAATACTCTTAGTATTTGTGTCAGTTTTATTTATTAAAATGCTGGCTACAACCCATTAAATTTGATTTCATGACCCATGAATAAATTGTGAAAAACATTGCCCTAGAAGAACTTGTTGTTAGGTCCTTTAATTAAATGAGACATTATTTTAAATCTGAACTGTCGTTTTCCTCATTCAGATTTTACAACAGGATTTTTAAACTTGAAAGAAGGTTAGAAGATTCTTTTTCTTCTTTCTTCTCATCAACGTACTGTGAAAGGCAATGTGCTTATATTACTAAAGGATGAGTTAAGATTATTCTGTATAGTTTCGTGTTTTAGGAATAATGTTAAGGCTTTCGCCTTTGACAGGAGACCAGAAGAACTGGTTGATGCCCAGCTACCATTACTGAACTTTCTTATCAAGGATTCTGTAGTGGACTCCTGATCAAAAGGGGTGAAATGCAGACCAGAGTTTCAAATTCTCATGGACTACAGACTTTCTGGAGCCATGAAGGCTGGATAAACCCTTGAAACTATTGCCCTGAGATAATCTTTAAACCTTAAACCAAAAATATCCCCTGAAGTCTTCTTAATACCAGTTGATAGGTTAGCTTAACTAGTAAAAAATGTCTGCCTTGAGCATTATGCTCTTTTAAGAACTATCTATATGGGGTCACATTGACAACAGCAACTCAGAAGGTTAGCTAGGCATCTTAGGGGACGGAGAGTTTATGTTAATGGAGGAGGAACAATTCAGAAAAGGAGGGTGAAAATGGTTTTACAACTCGAAGAATGTAATCAGTGCCACTGAATTATACACATAGAAACAGTTGAATTGATGTATGTTTTGCTGTGTGTATTCTCAACAACATTACAGAATAACTAAAATTTGGAAAAAAAAAACAGTTAAGGCATTAAGGCTTCACAATGTAAACAATAGTCTAGATTATAGAATTTATATATATATTTTTTGTTTTTGCAGTTTCAATGTCAGATTCTGCTTAAAGGCTGATGGCAAAGGAGAACTTCCCAGGATGCTTAGTAAGTTGTGCTGTAGGAAAATGATATTATTCTAATAATGCTGCAAGCACAGCACTTAATGTTTTGGGATATTTTAATAGTTGCTCAAATTGTTGTTGTATTTTATTTGAATGTTCATACTTAAAGATACTCAAAATCATAATTACTTCCTTTGTTTGGAAACTCTTAAGCCAATTCAGAGATAATACTTTTATTTATTGGCATTCTGGGAATGAAATGGCCCGCTGAGTGATTAGCCTTCCAAAAGCTAAGCATTTGCCAATGTGAGATGAATGAACTCTACGGGAAATAAGTATCATTGTTTGTAAGTGAAGGGTCTACTAAGAAGTTTATATTTTATGTCTTGGAGAGATTATCTCCTAATTCCCCCTGGGTTATTTATATTCTGGTTGCCTATTGACTGCTCCATCAATTTCAGGAGTAGAGGTGGATCCTGGAGTAGGAAAGGGAGTTTTGGTCACTAAATTTAAGCCATGCAGCAAATTCTTAATTCCACTTTTTTTTTTCCCTAAAAATGGTTTTATGTGACCCTGAGAGCAAGGTAGAGGTGTTCAATAATTGTTGCCAATATTTGTCAGTATGTTAGAGAGTGGCAAGTGCTAAGGAGCTTTAATAAACGGGAAGAGGACTGAAACTGTTGGGTGTGTGTCTGTGCTTGAAAATTTACATGGGGTAGCTAGGCAATGTCTCGCTGGAAGATAACGCTTCATAAGGACCTGAATGAAATGAGGGCGCTAACAGATGTCTGGAAGAATATTTCACGCGGAGGAAATGATTTCAAGAGGCGTAAGGTGTGTTTTAGGAGCTCTGGTGGTGCAGAGGTTAAGCACTTGGCCGCTAACTGAAAGGTTAGCAATTTGAATGCTGGTACCAGCCACCCCACTGGAGAAAGATGTGACAGTCTGCTTCCGTAAAGATTTACAGCCTTGGAAATCCTATGGGGCAGTTCTGCTCTGTCCTGCAGGGTCGCTATGAGTCGGAATCAATTCAATGGCAGTGGGTTTTGGAGGTGTATTTGAGAAGCAGTAAAGAGGGCAGTGTGGCTGGGTAGAACAGAATTGGAACCAAGTCAGAATGAAAATAACCCACAGTTTTCACCTAAATTTGAAACAAAGTTCAACATTTAGAGAAACTTGGAAGGAGCTGTGGTTTTAAAGGTCTGTACTCATCTCCTTTGAAGAAATTACTTAAAGAAATCGTTCTTTTAAGGTAGTAGTCCTAACAAGTATGTGCTTCTAACTGTTGGCTGCATATTCATTTTAAGATGATTCTATTCCCATTAATGAGTGCCTGGGTGGCAAAAAGGTTGACAAGCTTGGCTGCTAACTGAAAGATTGGAGGTTCAAGTATACTCAAAGGTGCCTTGGAAGAAAGTCCTGGTGATCTACTTCCAAAAACTCAGCCATTGAAAACCCTATGGAACACAGTTCTACTCTGACATACATGGGGTCACCGTGAGTTGGAGTTGACTTGATGTCAACTGTTTGTTAACATCTCATTAAACTGTATTTGGTCACTTGCTTTATGGGAGACATATTTCCCTGATATTTTGATGAGTTGGAATTGACTAGGTGGCAACTTACACCAAAAACTTCATTGGAAGCAGGAGTTGCAAGTGTTATAAGCTATTCATTCATCACATAGAGTTTAAAATAATGGTATGGGTGCGTATTAGTAAATATTTCTTAATCACAAACAACAATAGTCCTGCTATTAGCATTATTGGTAGAGTCATAATTCACATGTATTTCATGTTCTTTTTTCTCTCAGCTTAAAAGAAAAAAATTCTCCTACATCGAATATTTGTTTTACTATCAATATTATCTATTGTGTGGAATTAATCTATGGCATTACTTTGGGGATATTGTTGTTGTTGTTAGGTGCTGCCGAGACGGTTCTGACTCATAGTGACCCTATGTACAATGGAACGAAACACTGCCTGGTCCTGTGCCATTCTCACAATTGCTGTTATGCTTGAGCCCATTTTTGCAGCCAGTCAGTCCATCTCGTTGAAGGTCTTCCTCTTTTTTGCTGACCCTCTACACTTTGGGGATAGTTGGATTAAAATCATTGATTAAATACTTATTTAGAATAACTGTGTTGGTAGTTTTACTACAATGTATAGACATTTTTTTAAAACCAACTAGAAGCAGACTACTTCCTAAGGAATAAATGTTTTTGTTTTCATGAAAACTCTACATATCTAGGTCAGATAGGTATCTGTAAAGAATATGTTGGTTATATATTCTTTGATTTGTATAGATTTCCAGGTGGAGCTTCTTTTGGATAAACTCAAGCAAAAGGGAGCAATTCGGCGAGCACTGTTTCTCCATAACAGGTCCCCAGGTCACTCCAAGAACATGACCATTTCAAGGGGGGGACAGATGCAGTGTGAGGAACTAATAGCATATCTGCGGGTAAGATACTTTTTGGCTCCATTACATTTTCTTTTTAGTCGGTGATTGTTGTCTTTTTCATCTAATTATTTTCACTTTCTCTAAATTTTTTTTTGGTGCTAAACCAAAAGGAAAAACAGAAGAATACACTTGTTGAAATTTGGCTTTTTAAAGTGTCAAAACCTGAGTAATGGATTTCTATTTCTGCAGACTAGATATTCCAAATGGCCTTTCCACAACGATACTACTGAATAAATTATGATAAACATACTTCTGAAGTATTGCTGGACTCTCAAGAAAGTAAAGGAAATCTATAGAGTCCAAAAAACAATCCATCAACTAAAAAACTCCAGTGGCTAAATCTACATTGTGAGTTGCAAGCAAATGTGTGAGCCAGGGTTGCTGGTGAGAGGCAGAGGCTGAGGAGGGTGAGCAGTAATTGCAAACATGAGCAGTGACTTGGGGCCTTCTGCAAGCCCTGAGTCTGAATCTGAGATTCCTGCATTTAGCCCAGAGACTAGAATAAGACCAAAGGGTTCGCAGGACAGAGGAGCACCCTGGCTTCAACGAGAGCAAGTGCAAAGCCCCTGTGGAGGAGAGCAATCCAAAATAGACCCCATGATTTCCACAGGTTCAGTTCAGTCAAATATGAATTCGTTAAAAAAAAAGCACCAAACACACACAAGGAAACAAGCAACCAGAAGAAACAGCAGGCTTTAGGCCTGCAGAGGCTGGAGATGTTGCAATTATCAGTTACAGAATATAAATTTGTATTAAATGTTTAAAGGAATAAAAGATAGATTTTTTTTTTTCTTAATGTGGTAAAGAAATATATAACAAAACATTTGCCATTTCAATATTTTTTACGGGTACAATTCAGTGACATGAATAATGTTCATCATGTTGTGCAACCTAAGGGTGGAATTTTTTAAAAAGAAGATAAAAACATCAACAAAGATTTTGAAGACACAGAATTAGCAAACTTGATTTAACAGACATATGTAGAACCCTGCACATACCCAACAGAGAATATAAAAATTGCCATGTATAGGACATAAAGGAAGTCTACACAAATTTCAAAAAACTATTATCATCGAGAACATGCTGTCTGATCACAATCCAGTTTTAGAAATCAGTAACTAAAAGATAAATTGGGAATTAATAAATACTCTTTTAAATAACTTATGGGTCAAAAATAAATTATTATGAAACTTAATTGAAACTAAATCAAAGAAATACTGTATATCAAAACGCGCAGGGTGTTAAAGAAGTAGAATGTGAAGGCAAATGTATAGTCTTAAATGATTTTTTCAAAGAACAAAGACTGCAAATTAGTGAACTAAATGTACAACTTAAGTGGTTAGAAAAGAATCAGCGGAATAAGCCCAAAGGAAAAAACGGGATAAGAACTAAAATTAATGAATTTTTTAAAAAGATAGAATGAAGAGGATTAACTTTTTGAAAGATTGACCAAGAAAAAATGAAAGAAAGAAGAAAAACTCTACAAAATTAAGAATTGAAAAGAGGCAGACAGACTATAAAGAGTGTTGTTAGATTTGAAGGACTAAGGATAACTATTGCTGGCTTTGTGTTGTGCATCCATGCATTTCTCCAGGTAGTTTTAAGTTCATGCCATCATTAATTTGAAGCTTTTTCATTTCTAGGATGAATCCGAATTTAGGGACAAGCTCACTCCAATTACTATTTTTATGGAGTATCGATTAGATTATCGAACGGCTGCTGATGTAACAGGCTTGCAACCTATTCTTAATCAGTTCACTCCTGCCAATATTAGTCGACAGGTACTGTACTTTATCAATTTATCATGATTTTCATGCTTTGGTCTTTTTTAAAGGTTTTAAAATTTATATTTTTAAATGTAACTGATTGTGTTTTACAGTGTGCTACATTTTTAGACCAGGGCAGTGCTAACCATAAAACATATTGTTGGTTTTTAATTTATGTATATTTGGCACAAATGTGGATCTGTACTAAATGAGATCTGTCCATAAAATCTGGGAAGCTGAGAAAAAAATCTGAAATTTCAGCTTTAGGCAGTTTAAATACTGCTTTGTAATGTCTTATGATTCTATTTCAAAAAAGTCAGAAGAGAAGGAATTTAGATTTTCAGGTCAGAGATATTGAAAGCCATGCAGAACATACAGAATGATATGTAGAGAAAGACAGGGTCACATTTCATATATATAAAACAATAAAATAATTCAAGGAAAACAACAAAGTGCTAGTTTATTTACATAACATTTTATTGTTTTGCTGAACAACTTTGATACACATTTTATCTTGGATTTACATTTTAATTGTAAAAAATGTATATATATATTTATGTACATAATATATAGACAATTCTTTCATAAAACCAAATAAAATTCATACAGACTATTATATTTTTAGAAAATCCTTTACAAAATCTGTGCATTCAAATGTTATTATATTTCTCATTTCTACCTTTTGCTTATTATATGTTCATAGTTTTAGATTAATATTTCTGCTCTCCTAGAATTCTTTTCCTAAATTGAGCTTGTCATTTCGTATTTGTCTTCCTTCCCCAGATCCCATAAGCTCTTTTATTTTCAAATTTTAGAAGACTGTATATGACAGCAACATAAGGCAAATTCAAATAATCCTCTGTGATTTTTACATTTTAACAGTTAACTTTTTTATTTCATTTTGCACATTCATAATCATAATGTGTGCTATTTTCTACTGTTCATTAATGTAGAACATGTAAACATAGTTCCATGTTAATACATATTCTTTATATTTTTTATTTTCAATGGATGCACGATATTAGGTTGGTTAGTAATTTGATAATGAACATCTGAGCCTCTTTGGATCTATCATTCAGTTGTATTTATTTTTTAAAAAGTAAATTGTTTGTTGTCCCTTTACATGTTTTGATATAAGGATTATTGTTATTTTCTCTTTATAGTCTTAGATTTTTTTTTTAAATCTCTTGATATTATTGTTAGCATCATTTCTGATTAAGTTATTGAGTACATCAGTATCTTTAATGCCAATACCAATTTAAAGCCAGCTATTTAAGTAAATTAACTTTTGAAATGAGCAGTAACTTCAGAAATAATTGGTTTCCTTTTTTTTTCTTCTTCATTCTCATTCTTCATTATTTGAATCTTTTTTTTCTCTTTGTGTCCTACATATGTCTGAACAGTGACATTATTTACTTATAGGCATCTTTGCTATACCTAGAGAAGAAAGTTCAGGTTTTTTGCTTATTTCAGCTGTCCTGTGTCTGCTGACTTTAACACTTCTTCTTCTTCTTCCTTCCTCTCTTTACCAATGGGCATGCTTATGCTGGGGCTCATCTTGTCCAGTTTCTTTACCCCTTTTCATCTGCTTGTCTGAATTGCTGCTGTATATCTACAACTCATTATTCTTTTATCCTTGGTAGCTGTATTTCCAGTTTCCCAGTATGCATCTGTTAAATAGATGTTTATTTGCACTTCACAGCAACTCTATAATATTGTCAAAACCTCAGTCTGTAATGAGAAACTCTAGAAGGGAGTTTAACTTGCCCAAGATCGTATAACTTAGCCAGCAGCAGTATGAAGCTGACCCCTCTTTCTTACTTAATACTTTTTCTTCTATACCAGACTTAATTCCAAAATCATAACAGCTTAATTTGAGATAGAACTAAAAGGTTCTCAACTAATTGTGTTATATGTTATGAATATCTTCCTTTTTCATTCTTGACTAGCTACACTGACCTGTTTAAATGGCATGATCTCTTTTGTACTAAGGTATACAAACAAGTAGACATGTGTAAATAAGTGTATGCATGTGTACATATATGTGTGTTCACATACATATAAACATACAGCATGTGTATTCTATATTGGTGTTTTTCATTATAAAAAAATAAAATATTTTTTCTAGGCTCATATTCTACTTGACTGTGGTGAAGACAATGTTTGTAAACCCAAGCTAAAGGTTTCTGTAGATAGGTAAGTTTTGCTGCAAATAATAAACACTGTAATAATGATCTTCAGTAAGAAATTTAAATGGACGAGCACATTTTTCTGTTCAAAGTACTAATATATTTTAGTGAGAATTAATTACATTGGAGGACAATGCCTGATTATCTGAGTAAAACTAATCAATATTGAACTTCAAAAAAAATCCACTGTGTTTTCACTAGTAACCTACTTTGATCGATCTGTTTGTACTCATCATTGTGCAGTGTCACAAGTAACATTATATCCTCTAAAGAGAATATACTTCATTATAGAGGATATTCTTACACTCAAAGGGATATTACCGTTTTATATATTATATAAGTTAAAAAGAACTGTGAGAATCATTGTGAATGATTAATTTGGCCTTTATCTTTTAAAAAATCAGGGAATTAATAAGTATATACAAAGATGTATAATATTATTGCATTAATAGATATGGGCAGAGCCCTGGTGGTGCAGGTTGTTAAAGCGCTTGGCTGCTAACCAGAAGGTCAGCACTTTGAACCCACCGGCTGCTCTGCAGGAGAAAGATGTGGCAGTCTGCTTCCAGAGAGATTTACAGCCTTGGAAACCTGTAAGGCAGTTCTGCTCTGTCCTGTAGGGTTGCTATGAGTCGGAATCGACTTGACAGCAGTGGGTTTACGTTTTAGGTTTTTAATAGATACGTGAATGATAGTGATATACCAGCGGCATCAATGTCTTCTTTTACTGAGTGAGGCACTGGATTTGCTATTTCCAGTTTTCTGATGAGCTGTGAACCAAACCCACTGCTATAGTCGATTCTGACTCATAGCGATGCTATAGGACAGAGTAGAACTGCCCCACAGGGTTTCCAAGGCTGTAAATCTTTACAGAAGCATACTGCCACATCTTTCTCCCACAGAGCGGCTGGTGGTTTCGAACCACCAACCTTTTAGTTAGCAGCCGAGCACTTAACCACTGTGCCACCAGGGCTACTTATTGAATTGTGAAGTAGTCTTAAAATATCTTGAGACACTGTTCAATGTGTCGGTGCTGTCTTTGAACAGTTATGCTCTCCCCATGCAGTCTTTTTTCACTGTCTAGCTTTGTATTAACTTGTAGTGATCAAAAGAAGATCTATATTGGAGATGACAACCCTCTGACATTGACTGTAAAGGCTCAGAATCAAGGAGAAGGTGCCTATGAAGCTGAGCTCATTGTTTCCATTCCACCGCAAGCTGATTTCATTGGGGTTGTCCGCAACAGTGAAGTAAGAAAGCTGCTTTTTTAAAAATCAAAATGCACTCATAGGCCTTATTAATATTAATGCACTGCTCTCCTATTTAGTGAAGCACTGGCTTAGCCATTCTACCTAAGGCAAAATTGCTAAACAGTAGAGTGACTATCTTACATAATCCCTTTCAAGCCTAATACTTTCATAATGCATTGGTATGACATTTTTAGAATTGCTAGCTAAGTGCCTGAGAACGAGGTCACATAGATGTAGTGTCTAAGCCTGTCCATCAAATTATTTGCCAGAGGTAGTATGGTTATGTATCTAAGTCCTCTAGGGATCTTTCAGAAACACTTACATGTGGCAATTGTACACAGTCCTGGCTTCTCCCTCATCCCCATTTGCTCAAATAGATTTATTTGCTTTGTAAAACAAAAAAACTTGAATTTTCAACTACTTGATATTGCCCAGGATCTTTATAGTCTTGTGATTTCTGCTTTTTTTTTTTCTTTCCCCATCAGTAATTTATATTTCTTTAACATCTTTTTCTTTGTCTATCAAAGGCCTTAGCAAGACTTTCCTGTGCATTTAAAACAGAAAACCAAACCCGCCAGGTGGTTTGTGACCTTGGAAATCCAATGAAAGCTGGAACTCAAGTAAGCATTTTAATTAAATGGATTTTCTTTTTCCTTTAAAGAGAATGATATAGTTTTCTCTGGGTTTGTCCATAGTGATTTCTTATAAACACTTCAAATTGCTATCATTAAGTTGGTTTCGATTTAGAGTTTAGTGACAAGCAGAGTTTTGTTTAGTTTTGACCAATATACTAAAATAATAGATTGTGCTATTGCACTGTGTTTAACAAACTGTTCTTTACACTGCCTTCAGTTTGGTCAATGGATGAGAACACGGTTTAAACTAGGGACTGAAATGACCATTTGGTATTTCAAACGTATGCTTTCTTTCACAAATGCTCAAAAAAGCAACTCTGGAAAATACTAAGCCTGTCATTCTTAGATGGGATGGATTTATCCCATTAACTTGAAACACTGTATGGTCCCAAACAGAGGATCAAAGAAAAACTTGGTTTGATCATGCTCCCCTTTAGGCAGTGGGGAACAGAACCCAGGAGCTCGAGAAGTCTCAGTGGATCTCTTCTCAAATCCTCTAAAGCGTAAACAATATAAACCAGTAAATGAGTTGCTGTTGAGTCAATTCCAACTCATGGCAACCCCGTCTGTGTCAGAGTAGAAATGTGCTCTATAGTGGTTTTCAATGGCTAATTATTGGGAAGTAGATCACCAGACTTTTTTTCAAGGCACCTCTGGATGGACTCAAACCTACAACTTTTGGGTTAGCAACTGAGCACCTTAATCATTTGCACCCCCCGGGGACTCTATTTTGTGTTGTGTTTTCAATAGCATTTATTTAATCTAACAGTAAATATTGGTAATTTGAAAATTTGTGGTAATTTGGGGCTAAATATTTCATGTTTATTCAAGTATGTTCTCAAATAAAAGTCACTATTTCTAGAAGTTTGGTATCTTGGGGAAGAGGGCTTGCACAAATACCCTGAGTTCTATGTTTTTTACATGTATTTAACACAATGTTTCATTAACAAGTAATCATGCTTTTTGGTTTCTCACGTTCTCATTTCTCTTGCTGTCTCACTCATAGCCCGTCCAGTATAGAAAGTTCATGGTTATGTCAAATGGCCAACTCTAGGCTTTGTAAAGTGGGACGCAGTTTGATGAAATATCCAAGAAGGGCCGTTTTTATGTATCATTTATGTAATCCCCAAGACACCTGCTTTCTCTTACCTTGCTGCTCAGTTGTCATCTTTATAATCTATCAATTTTCCACCTACAGGAGTTATGATGTTTCATTGTGGTGAAGTGAGAAGTGTGGAGAAATTCTGGTTCTGGCCCCACTCATGCCTTTTTTTTTTTTTTTTTTAAATAAAGCTAAATTCTCTTACTACTCTTGTAAACTGCCCATTTCTTCCTTTCAGTTTCTTTCCTGACCCATTAGTACTGGTTCATTTGTTAGCTTTCTGTTACCAAATCATTATGCATAATTGCTGTATTTTCATTGAATCAACAAACATTTACTATTGCATTTTACTAGTTAGTAGTTTAATAACTAATCTTATAAGGAGGTGTAAGTTATGATTAATAATTGTTGTTAAATAGACTCCATTATGGAATGGCCCAAGTATCTTAAATAAAAGAGACTTGATAGGAAATTAGATTTAATCATCTTTGTTAGAGTACTTTCAGTTTTATTTATAAGTTTAGAAAAATAGGATTCTTTTTTATTTGAACATTTGATATGAAATTTGACTAATTAGACATTGTTTTGACTAACATTATCATCTTTTCCTCCCACTTAAGCTTTTAGCTGGTCTTCGATTCAGTGTGCACCAGCAATCAGAGATGGATACTTCTGTGAAATTTGATTTACAAATCCAAAGGTATGTAAACAAATTTTATTGGCTTTTAATAACTACTGAGGAAACATTATTAGTTATAAATTTATGATGTAATATTATTTAAATATTATGGAATAGAAGAGGCTAAAATTTCAGGACTTGATTATACTATTGTTCAAGTCAACATTTACATTATAAGAATAATTATAATGTCAGTTTTGAGTTTGTAAAACAAAATAAAACCTGATCATCTTGGAATTAAATGCTAATGAAAATAATTATTTTGATTTATAAGTTTTTCATTTCCTTGTTGATTTTGGAGCCCTAGTGGCGTAGTAGTTAAGAGCTCAGCTGCTAACCAAAAAGTTGGCAGTTCAGATCCACCAGCTAATCCTCAGAAACCCTATGGGGCAGTTCTGCTCTGTCCAGTAGGGTCTCTATGAGTCGGCATCAACTTGACAACAGCGAGTCTGGTTTTTTTTTGGTTGTTGCTTCTGATTTGTTCATTTTTAGTTTCACTGAATTTGCCTCTATGATTTTGATGATTGTGCTCAATTCAATTCTAAATTTTTTATCTTTTTCAGCTCCAATCTTTTTGACAAAGTAAGCCCAATGGTATCTTACAAAGCTGATCTTGCTGTTTTAGCTGCTGTTGAGATAAGAGGGTCAGTATGATTACTAAGTTGAATATCTCATTCTTGTGGTGCTTTTTAACTATAGGGTCGCTATGAGTCAGAACCAACTTGATGGCACCTAACAACAGCAATAACAACTAGGCCCTAACTTCTTTCCAATAGTTAGTACTCCATGTTTAGTGGTGGTTTTACTAGGGCTATAGATTCTGTAGAGAGAAGAGGGTCTTATATGTATTACAAAGCCCCAAATATTTCTCAGATGAACATCTGGGAAGGAATCAGATATGGCACCAGCAGGTACAAAATAGGTTTATCGAACTTTTCTACAAATTGACCTATCAATTCATCTGTTAATATGTATATTTAATAAATAATAGTTTGTGTGTGTGTGTGTGCACGCGTGTGCATGCATGCATGTATAGATTTTTTTTCAATGCATTTTTTAAATTCTAATTTCATTCATTTGAATACAGAGTACTTTTGAAAATGCACTGACTATATCATTTTGATATTCATGGTAGGTTTTCTTTGGTCATTGTTTAGAGTCTCAAGTCCTGATCATATCTTTCTTCCGATTCCAAATTGGGAGCACAAGGAGAACCCTGAGACTGAAGAAGATGTTGGGCCAGTTGTTCAGCACATCTATGAGGTTTGCAGCTGTTGGATATAAAGGAAACCTGGTCAGACAGAGCCACTATAGAGAGGAACAAGCTAGGCTACTTTAAAAAAAAAAAAAATTCTATGTAATTTTTATGTAAACTCTTCATAGTGTAAATACCAGACATTTCTTTGAATTTTGGCCCTATTTATAAGTTCATTTTTATTAGTCAAGTAGCTTCAAATGGTTAAAGAAATCAATTTATATAAATTGTTTTTAAAAACCAATTAGTTCTCCCTGAATAAAGGTACTATATCATTGAGTATTTTCGCATGAATACTTTGCAAATATGACAAAATTTGAAGGTAGCAAATAATCAAAATTTTGCTTTTACTGGAAGAAAATTTCCTCTGCCCATCTTTCATCAATATTTTAAAAATATTTCATTTGGCATTTCAATTTTTTAGAGACAGATGTTGAGTTTGATCTTTTTTCATAATAATGTTCATGTTGAGACATTAGAGTAACTGTGGAAAGTCTGCTATTAAATCCGTGTTGCTAATATGAGTACTAAAGTTAATTGGGAGAATGATTATAAAATAGATTTTTGCCCAAAGTATTTTATATTTTCTTTTCCTCATTAGCTGAGAAACAATGGTCCAAGTTCATTCAGCAAGGCAATGCTAAATCTTCAGTGGCCTTACAAATATAACAATAACACTTTGTTGTACATCCTTCAATATGATATTGATGGGCCAATGAACTGCACTTCAGATATGGAGATTAACCCTTTGAGAATTAAGGTAATGTGCTTAATACCAACTCTTCATTGTGATATTTTACTTCTTATTTTTCTAAACCTATAAAACAAATGCATGAAATAAAAACAGCTATTTTAATACACAAACCTACTCAGCAAAAATACTTTCGTTCTTAATTAGTACACTAAAGATTAGATTGTTTCTTTGTATAATGAATAATGATTAATTCTGTGAATGTAATCCTGTATTGTCTGGTGAGCTTCAGGAAATAGTCTTAAGTGACTCTATTTGACCTTGACTCCATCACATTGAGCTTTATCCAGTGTATAATGTTCTTTTAAGGGAGGGCATGGTGATTCAGTGGTAGAATTGTCAACTTCCATTAGTGAGATCCGGGTTCAGTTCCTGGCCAGTATATTTTAAGTGCAGCCACCACTCATCTGTCATCAGAGGCTTGCATGTTGCTGTGGTGCTGAAAAGGTTTCAGCAGAGCTTCCAGACTAAGACAGACTAGGAAGAAAGGACTGCCAGTCTGCTTCCAAAAATCAGCCAGTGAAAACCTTATTAATCACAATGGTCCTATCCCATTGTGCATGGGGTGCCTGTGAGCCAGGGACTTAGCAGCAGCTAACAACAACAACAAGGATATTGTGGAATTTCTGTCTCTAGGATAAGATAAAACCTTCACTTCTGACTTTCTTAACTTACACAGCCTAGAAAAATGCCATTATATGTAATTATGTATAACTGAATATACCATATTTGTATGCAGATAATGTGTGCCTTCTACGTTTGTTTGCCAGCCGCACCCTCCCCTTGTGAGGTATTTTCGTAAGCGTGCTATGCTAATTGTTTTTACAACATGTACCAAAAATTGGCATTGTGGCACTTACAAAAATACCTTGGAGGGGGAGGGCATGGTTGGCAAACAAACAAAGGTGGGGCATTATTTGCTTAAATGTACAGTAGTCATTTCCATCCTTGCACACACATTGGGATAGGAAGCTATTGCACAACACTGAACAGGAAACATTAAGAAAATAAAAGTAAACTCATGATTGACATTCATCACAGATGTAATGTGAAGTTTCAGACTGTTTCTGTATGTTTCATCAGTTTCCCCTCCACCTATGCAAGGGGAGAAAATCAAGGCTGGGCAGAGGTAACGTCTGTCCACATATTAAGGACCCTAAACTTTATTTTCTGTTCATAGTTTTTGCTATATATTAAGTAGTGAATTTTCTGTCATACCTAAACTTATTTTTATTCACTATTTTTTAATAGATGAATTTGTCAAACTGTCAGTATGAAAACATTTTCTATTATTGTTCTTATTTACCATCATTTTATTAATGCATTCCTAGGTCTCAACTTCACAAACAGCTGAGAATGACACAGTTGCTGTGCAGGGTGGTCGGAACCATCTCATCACTAAGCGGGATCTCACCCTCAGTGAAGGGGATATTCACACTTTGGTAAGTGCCATTTTAACTACACACACTTGAATCATTTTAAAAATGTGATTATAAGACTTATGCCAAATAGCATATTTCAAAAATAACAACAGCTGTGCTCAGAAGAACTACATATATTTTTATACCATTCAGTCTTCTTACTTGCCTTGTTCTTAGTCAAATTAGTCTCAGATTTTCTTCAGATGGTCTATCTTTGTAGACTGCTGATAAAAATACTTTATTTTCCAACTTATTTTCTGACTGCACTCTTTTTACTGACCTCTTGGCCTTACCCTCATGAGCCTGGTGCCCACAGTGGGGAGTAGGTTTTGAGAAGAACATATTACAAGGGGGCTTCTGCCTTCCTTCAAACTAGGGGGCAGTACTAGTCTTTAACAGGGAAGAATAGGCTACTTCCTCGAGCCTAGAGGGTTCAAGGTAATCTGGAGTTTCAAGAGATCTGAGAGCGGTAACCTAGATTTCCCCATCTTAAGTCTCAGGGTCCCATTCTTTCACACTCAGGGTTTTGACCTTAGCAAAGCACACTTACTAGAATTTAGAATTCAAGCTTCTCTGGAGCTCTGGTACATTTATCATTAAATTCTAGATACGATCCTCAGCTTGTTAAGACCTTGCCCTGCAAGAGGACTTTTTCACCTGCCTTAAATTGATGATTAATCACCTTAGCCTTTCATGACCTTTCTTTTTATTTTATTGTGGTAAAAACATACATAACAAAACATATGTCGTCTCAACAACCTCACAGGCGCAATTCAGTGGCAATGATTACATTCTTCAAGTTGTGCAACCATTCTCACTATCCTTTTTCAAATCATTCCTCCACCATTAACATAAGCTCAGTGTCCCCTAAGCAAAAACTCCCTCTTTCCCCCGCCCCTCGGCTGTGGTAACGACTAATAATCTTTGATTTCTATATATTTGCTTATTTCATATAAATGAAGTCGTACGATATTTGTTCATTTGTGACTGTCTTATTTCACTCAGCATGATGTTTTCATGGTTGATCCATCTACTGACATGCATCAGGACACCATTTCTCTTTAATGCTGAGTAGTATTTCACTATGTGTATATATACCACATTTTGTTTATCTATTCATCTGTTGATGGACATTTGCTTCCACCTTTTGGCTGTCATGAAAAGTACCTCAGTGAACATTGGTTTACAAGTTTTTGTTTATATTCTTTCCTTCACTTCTTCTGGGTATATACCTAGGATTGATTTTGCTGGGTCATGTGGTAACAATATGTTCAACTTTTTGAGGAACCACTAAACTGTTTTCTACATGGCTGTACCATATTACAGTCCCACCAGCAACGGATGAGAGTTCCAGTTTCTGCACAACTTTGCAAACACCTGTTGGTTTCCTTTTTTTTTTGATCATTGTCATTCTAATAGGAGTGAGGTGGTATCTTATTATAGTTTTGATTTGCATCTGTATGATAGCTAATAATGTTCAGCATCTTTTTCATGTGGCCATTGGCCATCTGAATATCCTCTCTGGTGGAATGTCTGTTCAAGTCCTTTACTCATTTTTTTATTGGATTGTTTGTCTTTTTGTTGTTGAGGTTTTTTTTATATGTTTTGAATATTAGACCCTTATTGGATATATGGTTCCTGAAAACCTTCTCCTAGTCTATAGGTTATCTTCTCACTTTTTTTTTATAAAGTCCTTGAATGAACAAACATATTTAATTTTTATGAGGTCCCATTTATCCATTTTCTCTATTGCTGCTTGTGCTTTTGTTGTCATATCTGATACTCCATCATTAAAAATTAGGTTCTACAGCCATGCGTCTATATTTTCTTTAAGAATTTTATAGTTTTAGTGTTCATATTTAGGTCCTTGATCCATTTTGAATTGGTTTTTGTATGTGGTGTGAGGCATGGATCCTTACTCATTCTTCTATATGTGGAAATCCAATTTTCCCAGCACTATTTATTGAAGAGCCCCTTCCTTCCTCATTGTGTGGACTTAGCACCCTTGTTGCAAATCAGTTGATCATGAAATCAGGAAATGTGAGTCTTCCTACTTTATTCTTCAAGATTATTTTAGCTATTTGAGGTTCCTTGCTCTTCCACATAAATTTGGGGATTGGCTTTTCTGTTTCTTAAAGAAGGCTGTTGGAATTTTGATGGGAGTTGCGTTGAATTTATAGATTGCTTTGGGCTTTTTTCTTAAGTACATAGACCAAAACCAAACCAAACCCATTGCCATCCAGTTGATTCCAACTCAGTGGTTAAGTGCTACAGCTGCTAAACAAAGAGTCAGCAGTTCAAATCTACCAGGTGCTCCTTGGAAACTCTATGTGGCAGTTCTACTCTGTCCTATACGGTTGCTGTGAGTCGGAATTAAATAGATAGCACTCTGCAAAAGCCATATAATTCCGTTTTCATTAAAATTATTACATCTGAACGATGGGATGCAGAACTCAAATACTAATAAGAAGACCAGACTTAATGGTCTAAGACTGGAGGCGCCCCAGAAAGCATGGCCCCTGGTCTCTCTATCACCCCAGAACTAAAACAATTTCCGAGGCCAACTGTTCAGACAGGGATTGGACTGGACTGTGAGACATAAAGTGAT